AGTGTGTCATCATAGGGACCAGTCAACCTATCATAATGGTTGCTTAGGTTTTTATATATATGGATTAACATCCACGGCTTGAGATGCCTAGGGTGATTGGTGGAGAATTTGATCTACTTTCCCATCCTTTTTTTTTTTTTTTAAACTCCTTGCACTGGAGAGGCCACTATGTATGGTAAATTTCTAACCAGATAGAATATCAAGCAGGTGCTGTCTCTTTAAGCACCAACTACACTGGCTGAAGGGATTGGTCATGGGTCAGTAGTGTGTGCGTGCCCCATGAAAGGCCAGTCAATAGCTTGCACATATTAAAATATAAAAGACATTCCTATCATCTAGCATTCAATTAGGCAATGTTAAAAAATGGTAACCTGACTTAGTCTATGTGAAATGCTCTAAGATAGTATATAGCTTAGAATTTTTTTTTTTAACTTCTTGAAGGGTTAAACAACATGTTTTCTTTCTTTCTTTTGGATGTTATGGATGTCAATGGCATTTTATTTTATTTTTCACCCATCTTCCACCCTCCTCCCCTTTGACAACCATGAGCTTGTTCTCTGTATCTAAGGGTCTGTTTTTGGTTTGTTTTCTCATTAAAAAAAAAAAAAAGGATTCCACATATAAGTGAAATCATACTTGTCTTTCTGTCTGACTTATTTCACTTAGCAGAATACCCTCTAAGTCCATCCATGTTGTCACAAATGACTAAGATTTTATTCTTTTTGATTGCTGAGTAATATTCTATTGTGTGTACATATATACTCACACACAACCTATATAATAAAAGCCCAATATTCCAAGTGTCCAGTTGTCTGGTTGGTCTTTCAAACAATCAAAGTGTAATATGCTAATGATATGCTATGGCCGCTCAACTGCTTGCTATGATGTGCACTGACCACCAGGGGGAAGACCCTCCGACCTGTAGGTTAGCTTGCTGCTGGGGTCCAGCTGATCGGGATTGAGTGAGATAGGCCGGACACAACCTGGAGCCCTCCCGTGGCCCTTCCCTGGCCCGAATCATGTACTGGTGGGGTCCCTTGACCTGGCCTGTGCCCTCTCACAATCCGGGACCCCTCAGAGGATGTCAGAGAGCTGGCTTTGGCTCGATCCTGCAGGCCAGGCCGAGGGACCCCACTGGTGCATGAATTCATGCACCAGGCCTCTAGTCTTCCTATAAGATTATATATTTCATGTGTACAAGTCTATGATACATGATCTGAATATTGCACTGTGTGCCCACCACCCAAAGTCACATCTTCTTTATCCATTTATATTGATGAACTCAGGTTGCTTCCATCTCCTGGCCCTGGCAATTGTAAATAATGCTGCAATGAACATAAGGGTGCATATGTTTTTATGAATTAGTGTTCTTGTTTTCTTTGAATAAATTCCCAGAAGTACAATTGCTAGGTCTACGGCAGCTCTGTTTTTAAATTTTTAAAAATATGTTTTTATTGATTTTAGAGAGAGAGGAAGGGAGAGAATGACTGAGAAACATGGTTGTGAGAAACACCTTCTGGCTGCCTTCTGCACGCCCCCTACTGGGGATCTGGCAGCAACCTGGTCAGTGCCCTGACCAGGAATCAAACCAGCGACCTCTCTTGGTGCACCGAGGACGCTCAACCCACTGAGCCACACGGGACAGGGCTCTACTTTTAATTTGTTGAGGAACCTCCATACAGATTTCCACAGTGGCTGCACCAACTTTCAATCCCACCAACAGTGCACGTGGGTTCCCTTTCCTCCACATCCTTGGCCAACACTTGCTTGTTTATTTATTTTTTTGATGACAGCCGTTCTGACAGGTGTGAGATGGCATGTTCACTTCCTTGATGTCCTCAGTTCATGAAGTTGATATGTGAACCTTGTGAATCTGACCATGAAATTAAACACTAGTGAAATGCTGGGAGAGGGTTGTTTCCCTCGTGTATTTTAGCATCCTCCAGGCAGAGCTGATAAATATTCAGCAAGCGATTAGTGGGTGCATCCCCAGTGAGTCTTTTGCATATGCATGCCAGCTATCCTTTCACAAGCACTTTCACGTGGTAATTTACTAATGTACTGGCTGCACTCCACACCTGCCATTACTGAAGTAATTAGCTTAGTATGCAAACGATTTCTAAATTAAAGTTCTGGACTGGTAAAATCAAGAAAGCCTGATGATCAACGCTGTAACTGTGGCAGACGACAAGTAAAGGGATAGATAGGAGCAAGTCCTTTAGCTAACCTACGTGCAAACCAGAAGGCTATCCAAGGCGCAGGTGTAATATAGGACCACGACAGGAGACGAGTAAAAGGGTCAATATTCAATGATTTTGTTTTTATTAAATGTATTGGGGCGACTTTGGTTAATAAGATTAAATAGGTTTCAAGTATACAATTCTAGGATACACGATCTGTTTATTGCATTGTGTGCACACCACCCAAAGTCAAATCATCTTCAGTCCTCATATATTTGGCCCCTTTACTCTTTACTACCCCTCACCTCCCTTTCCTCTGGTAGCCACCATGCAGTTGTCTGTGTCTATGAGTTTGTTTCATAGCCCACACGAGTGAAATTTAGAATCGCTCCCTTTCTCCTGCCATCCATATATAAACAGCGAGAAGGTGTGGGGGCAAGGCATTTTAAGGCACACACAATTAGAGTGGTGTTAGCCAGGCAAACTTCAAATTGATACAAGTTGGTAAAAGGGGCGGCGGCGGGGCGTAGGAAGCTGGGAAAGGTGGGAGCAGGTCCGACCAGGCGGGCGGCGCTGGAGGCCCATCCTGGGACCCAGGGCTCCTCTCGGCCTCGCACGGGCAGCGCAGGCCTCCGACCCGGAGAGGAGAAAAGAGAAGCGAGAAGGAGAGAGAGGAGCTGGAGGGAGCGAGTGGGATGGGAGGAGGGAGACGGGAGAAGAGCGAGAGGAGCGGAAGCAGAGGAGGGAGGAGAGGCGGGCAGAGGGAGGGGAGGAAAAGGGAGGAAAAGAAAAAGGCGGCGGAGGAGAACGGGTGCGCCCCGCCCAGCGTCCGCCTCCGCTCCTAAATTCGGGCAGGCTCTCCCCGTCTGGTTTCTGGGCGCTCGGAAATCGCGGAGGCT